GGCGGGTACCTGATATGTAGAACGGCGGGTACCTGATATTTGAAACGGCAGGTATTCGATCCCTTAATAATTTAAAATTTGGTCCAAAATAAATTAATAAACCGTTATAATATAAAGCGCATACGCGTTAAATTATGTAGCGTATACACGTTGCTTTTTATGGCGGGTTACCCCTGAAATTGACAGGTTAACCCAACAGAACAGGGGTAACCCGCCGTGAAATATAACGTGTATACGCTATGTTTTGTAGCGTGTACACGCTATGTTTTGCTACGCACTTTTGACCACTACCGCTTGCCATACGACTGTCACGTAATAATATAATCACGTGACTTCAAAACTTCGATTTTACTTTGGTTACTATTACCTTTAATAGTACTATTATTCAAAACTTATTGTTATTATAAACTGTATGTAAAGAATCTTTATAATACAATTGACTAATCTTTATTTGTTTTGAGTGCAACTATTTAACTACACAACTTTATAACCTTGCTAACCTATACAAAGCTAAACTAATACATAACTATCCCATTCTTTGTAACTCTACGAGTTTTATTATGACTGTAAATGGTCAATTATGGTTAAAAAATATTTATTATAATTCGAATGTCATGATTTTATTAGAAATGAACAAGTTCAAAATAAATCAATTTAATATATTTTATATTTTATAGTCCTAACTCCCTAAGATAAATGTTATAAGCCAATCAAAATTTAGACACCACAAAATCATGTGGGAAGAAATTTGTTGGGTAAATGAATAAAATGTTACGAAATGGCATTTTAATTGAAATAGAAAAACAAAGGGTGTGATATCGGTATGAATAAAGCAAATTATAGTATTTATTATAAAAAACTTTAAATAAATAAATAAATTGTTTTAAAATATTAAATTTTACATCAAAAAATGTAGACATTATACCAAATTTGATTTATTTACTATTTATAGTTTCTTAAAGTTCGTTTCATTGTCACTTTTCACAGCATACTAAAATCTTGGTATCTTAAATATTTAGTTGCACTAGACAAGGGTCTGATGGAAAAGAAAATTCGGATCCTCATATTATTCACAAATCAGAAAAAAGGAAATTAATAAAAAAGTAAAATAATTTAAAAATTTACGCTTTGTTAAAATAAAATTTACATATTTACATTTATATATTTGATATTCTTACTTTTATTATATTATACTATACATACTCTTCATACTTTGAATTTATTAAATTATACTTTTTATGACTTTATCAGTGATGATTTATATTTACGTTACTTAATTTCTTAAGTTTAATATTTTAAATAATTCGTTTATTATACTCTTAAAGTTTTACATATCATTAAAATATTTTAATTTATTTGATTATCAACAATTTTTGATTTCCGATTGGCTAATTTAAAACAAATCAATATTTCATGAGAATTTTTTCATGCGAGCAATAATCACTTTTTCGCATAGTTATTTTACCGATAAGTTAATCAATTTTTTAATATCATAAGAAGTCACTGGTCAATTCTATTTTATAAATGTATACAAATATATATGTATATATGTATACCCCTTATACTTTCTTAAACTATTAAATTATCACTTTCACAAAAATTTTTAATTAGCCCATCTTCCTCTGACACCCTTTCCATTCTAGTAGTTAAAAGCTTTTTTAGTAACCAAAAATTCGCGTCATTATGTTTTTATCTACCATTAATATTATTTGCTGCAACGCCAGTACTTCAATCAGAAATTATTTAGAAAGGAACATTTCAAGCAATTTGAGAAACTATCTAATAACTCAGGAAATACGAGAAGTTTCGTGAATAATAAATGTAATATAGATGTACTGTATCGTAATAAAATAAATAGCGTTAAATTTTCTCTGTTTGTCAAACTTCCTGAGAATGTGGTAACTTACAGCTCTCGCAGGTCTTGGAATAGCGGCAGTTTGGAAAAGATAGATGTATTCAAACAGCACCTACTGCGTGGGAATTTTATCAGCTTTACCCTATCCAAGGGTAACGTAGTTGTGTGATTTTTGCCATCTTACGTTACGCACT